GATAACTTTGGTACAGTTCTGGAAAAGCTCAGGTAGTAATGTGTTAGTCTCCCTCTCAACAAATTCATTTTATTCTGAAATTTCAAAGAATGCTTTGGCCCTGATGACAGAATTTGGTGAGGAATCAGACTATTTGTATTCTGAACATTAGAACAGGAACTTCCCACTGGTTGGTAAAAAGCCATCATGTATGTATCAAAGATCCATATCATGGCATTTGGTCAATTTTATAACTCTGTGGAACTCTGTTCAGTTTCTTGTAACATTTGGTTGAGTGTTAAATGTGGGACAAACTACCATGTAATACATTCAGAACAAACAAAACAACTTATACCCCTAAGGTTATAGCAAAACCATTTTGCCCAAGGAAGGAAAATGCCTCAGTAACTCTTTTTCAACAAGGCAGTATATATTAGTATTTTGCGGCTGCTGTCAAGTTATCACAAATTTAGTGGCTTAAAACATCACAAATTTATTCTTATGGTTCCGTATGTTAGAAGTGCAAAACTGGTCTTACTGGGCTAAAACAAAGATGTTGGCAGGGATGCATTATTTTCTGGAATCTCTAGTGGAGAATCCGTTTCCTTGTTTTTTCCAACTTCTAGTAAATGTCCACATTCCTTGACACATAGTCCCCCTTTTCCATCTTCACAGCGAGCAGTTGTATTTATCTCTCACCATTTTTCTATATTCACATCTCCTTCTGATCATAGTCAAGAAAGATTCTTTCTTTTTTTTTTAAGATTTTATTTATTTATTTGAGACAGAGAGAATGAGAGAGAGAGAGCACATGAGAGGGGGGAGGGTCAGAGGGCGAAGCAGACTCCCTGCTCAGCAGGGAGCCGGATGTGGGACTCGATCCAGGGACTCCAGGATCATGACCCGAGCCGAAGGCAGTCGCTTAACCAACTGAGCCACTCAGGCGCCCAAGATTCTGTATTTCTAAGGACCTATGTGATTAGATTGGAAGCCCACCTGGATCCAGGATAATCTCCTCATCTCAAGGTCCATAATTTTAACTCACCTGCAAAGTCCTTTTTGCCATGTAATGTAACATATTCACAGATTCTAGGCATTAGGATATGGCTATCTTTGGGCTGGGGGCGGGGGGGGGGTTGCATTTTTTCTGCCTTCCCTATAGTGTAAGAAGTAAGAGCATAGCTCTGGAGTTAGCCTGTGTTCACCATTAAAAAATTGGGCAAGTTAATTAACTTTTGTGTACTTAACTTTCCCTCATCAGTAAGATGGGTATAGTAATGGCAATACCTCATAGTTATTAGATTGAGTATATATATACAAAAACACTTAGAACAGTGGATGGCATTCAGTGTAGTGTCAATCGATGTTACCATAATTGTTGAAAATCTGAAAGTTGAGCTAAGATCCAAGGTCTTTATATCCAGTAAGACCCATACTGAGAGTTTCTGAGTCTCTAATTGTTCTAAATTTATTGTCCAGAAATTCTTCTTTACCCTCAATCTGGAGTATATTGAAAGGCCAACATTTGTTATCTTTCCCTTGAATGCCCAGCAGTTAAGAGGATTTGCATCTCCTATTCAGGGAAGAGTATAGGAAGAAGGCTGGGAAGTCTCTACTACCTCATCTGTGGTTTTCCAGTGGTTGCTCTTAGTGGTAATGGTTCCAATTATTGTTCTCTCTCAGTAGTGGACATGGGTCCCAACTAGAGGGCTTCCTGATGGTTCTTAGTAACTTTCAGGGGCTACTTCCTTTGGTATCTCCAAGTCAGGATCATTAGCTCTTTACAGTAATAGCTGCTAAAATCTAGTTACTGACTTAGGTGTTACTAACACACTGTCTGAGTGTGTTTTTCTAATGTCTGACATTTCATGACCAGCACAATGGTTTTCCCCTAGCACCACCTCTAGAGAGCATCTCACAACAGAGCAATAAAATACGTACTGCAGCCTTTTCCAAAGAATATATGTTTGCTTTCCTCAGACACCGATATCTGGGTGTGCTTGAGTCAGACACAAACCTCCTGGACTCATGCATCACAGAGGGACCCCACACACGTTTGCACCAAAGCAATCTAGAGAGGGCTGGCCAGGTGTTGCTAATAGGCATGACCTGTTGCCATTTCATTTTTCTTCCCCATTTAAAAAAAACCCGCCTTTATGCAAGTCATAAATGGTTTTGTTTTCCAAAAGTATCCTGAATAGGTTTTTTAAAAAGTTTTAACTTTTCACAAGTAATTTTGAACAGTAGTGAGTATGGGAGGTTTTTCATAGTGTTAAGATCTGACCTTGTCTTACTGGTTACCTAGTCTATACACCTCTGGACATAAACCTTAATGGACTTAGAAAGTTAGTCTACAAGGCCAACATTTAATATTCTAACTTTAGAAGAGAAAGGTACTTTATATGGCTTTTTAATGATGAAGGTGAATGACTCTGACAGTCTCAGCTGTTGTAAATGTAGAACCCAAAATAGAACTTGTCTTAAGGGAACTGCAACTTCAATTTATGAAATATGCTTTTCTTTAAAATTCTGAAAAATCCTGGCTCTAGCTGATGGTAAGAAATTGGTTTCTAGGAAGGCCGTATCTCAAATAAAAATCACATACTCTTATTATTACAATTCAGAACACATTGGTTAAATATTATAAAATATAGTATTTTATGCTTTCATATAATTATGAAAGTTCAAAAAGTGTTTCTGGAGGAAAAACTGACTCATAAAGAACAAACACAGCTATAGATTCAATAGATATTAAAGGTTTGTTTGTTTTGTTTTTTGTTTTTTGTTGGTTTTTTTTGCCAAAAATGTGCAAATAATTTTTTTTTCATGGGTTGGGAAAGGTTAATATGAAGCTATGTTGTAGCTCATGGAAACAGAAGTACACACACACAATAGACTGCATTTACTTAACCCCTGCGATTCGTAGAGGACTTGACCTATCAAGGATATAAAGTTTTTTTTTTTTTAAGATTTTATTTATTTATTTGACAGGGAGAGACACAGCGAGAGAGGAAACACAAGCAGGGGGAGCAGGAGAGAGAGAAGCAGGCTTCCTGCGGAGCAGGGAGCCTGATGCGGGGCTCGATCCCAGGACGCTGGGATCATGACCTGAGCCGAAGGCAGACACTTAACGACTGAGCCACCCAGGTGCCCCTTTTTTTTTCTTTTTTTTTTTTTTAAGATTTTATTTATTTATTAAGGATATAAAGGTTTTAATCAGTAGCTCTCTTTATGAATCAGAGTGTGATCACAAAAATTTTCAAATTAATTGCTGAGTGTCAAATCTTAGGCTTTGAATAATTTGCTACCTTAACAACTGAGGAATCTACATGTATCAAAAGAAGAGATTTATCCATGGCCATTAGAAACTAAAGGAGAGTGGGGAGGAAGAGAGGAAGAAGAAGGGGCATTGGCAGTGAATATGATGCTTCCGCGTATTAATGAACTTTAGTCGACAAAACAATGAAATGTAAAATCCATAAGAGATGAACAGAAATAATTGTTTAGAAGCCTAGGAAATTTGACCCTCAAGAGACAGAGATATAAATATGCTACAACTGACCAAAGTCCTCTAAAATTTCTCAAAAATCTTACGCATAGATATTTAAAGGAATAAACATATAGATGGTGTATACATTTCTTTATTAAACTCTCTTTCACACATTTTTAAATAATGTAAACATTATTGGCTACATTTGTAAAAGATTTATTAATAATTCATTGGAGCAAAAAGGAGACTGATAAAACCCATAGAAACTGACTACATGATTGCAAATACCCTAATGGCAATATAATGGAGATGATCCTAATGGATGAACTATACATTGTTTACCCTTTAGGCTTGCATCCTTCTTTTAGGTCATTTTAAAGGTTTGTTTAGTAGCCAAATTCATATATATATATATATATACACACACACTAACTACCAATATAGATAATAAATATATACACTATATATATATATATGTTTAGTAGCCAAATAACATAAACCTATATATAGTTTTCAAGATACTGCTCTTCTGACTTGCTAAAAGCATCCAAAAAGTAAGCTATTTATTCATCTTTATTTGAGATTCCCATAAGAAATGACAAATTGACTACTAGAATATTTTTTATAGTTTCATGCTGCTCATAACGTACTATTCTTTTTTGGGGGAAATTTGAATGTAAGTGTTAAAATTATGTTTGGTTTTGGTTACTTTATAATTACAATTTTCCTTTTATTAATTGCTCCAGTATTCCAGTTATTTATTTATTTTAAGATTTTATTTATTTATTTGACAGGGAGAGAGATAGCGAGAGCAGGAACACAAGCAGGGGGAGTGGGAGAGGGAGAAGCAGGCTTCCCGCGGAGCAGGGAGCCCGATGTGGGGCTCGATCCCAGGACCCTGGGACCATGACCCGAGCTGAAGGCAGACACTCAACGACTGAGCCACCCAGGCGCCCCTCCAGTATTCCAATTATTAAGAAACAATGAAACATCTCTGGGATGTCTGTCCATTGTGACTGAAAGTACCTTTGCTTCCTGTTCGTATCTTAATGAAATTCTTGAGCTGAAAAAAATTTTCTTTCATTTGATTTTCATATTTTCTCTTAAAGGTAAATGATCAAACTCCTTCACATATTGTCTTTTCAGATTTTTCCTCTTTGAAAGAAATAAAAAATATTTTTCTTTCTTTTATTTCATGAATTCTTTAAAGCCTATATTTAATATGCCACCTCGAGGGGTAGTGAATATTTGGATTGCTGAGTTTGAACAGTTTACTGATTCTGTCAAAGCCCCTCGTGGCTTTTCCTTCCAGCTTCATATGCAGCATAAAATAGTAGAAACTATTAGAAACAAGAGTAGGGGACTGTAGATGGCTGTGGATTCTTCTTTGTAGCAATTCCTAAAATAGTATCGGTAATCAGCTTTTTGATTATCATCACTGCAGGCTTCCTCAAAGCCTCTTCAATGGCATAATTTTTGACACTATTTCAAAATAATGAACTGCAAAGTGAAGAATTCAGTGAAAACTTTGTCACTTGTGCTAAAATAAGATTTTTGAAGTGAAAAATTATTTTGTTGGAAGCTAGATTCAGTCAAACTGTGATTCTTTTAGACTTAAGTTTTGCTTTGATGTAATGGTTAACACGTCATTGTATAGTTAGACCAGGCTAGAAGTATTGCTCAGAGGTGGCAGTGAACTCAGGAGGTCAAAGTGATAAACACCCAGAAGGCACACAGTTGTGAATTCCTGATACTCTGACTGATGAAGTGGCTCTTAGGCCAAGGCTGTGCATTGGCAGTATAGTGGGGAATGACAAAGAAGAATTTTTTTTTTTCACTTTTGAGTCTCTATCTTCCTCTAGTCTTCTATCTTCACTTTTGAGTCTCTATCTTCCTCTAAATTAGTTAAAATTTTACAGTGGCAATGTTTTCATTTATTATCTGTGCAACTTTTTAACAGGCGTAAGTTAAGGAAACAGGACTCTGCAGTTGTAGACATTTGGGACTAAGAATGTGTTACAGTTTTACAGGATGATGACTCGTGTCACCCAGAGGAAAAGCATTGAGACCTCCATGTGGCTGATGAATGGAAGGGAAGCCATTCACACTCAGGCAAAAGGTACCTAAGGAAAAGTGGTTCTTGATTCTCTATCTCTTTGCCCATTATCATTTTATAGTTCAGAAATGGAGTCCTTCAGGGGACTGAAGTCACCCCAGCTGGTGTGTCAGACAAACCGAACATACTGTGGAGTCTTTCTTACGGTAAAGGAAGTCCAGGTATCCCACTAAATTCGTCATTCAGAGTCAAGGTAGAAACATTTTTTTTTTCCCAAGGAGGAAATAGAGTGAACATACGATGTTTCTCATTCAAAGAGACTTTGGTATACTTCAGTAAACAAAGAGACAAACAAAAGTAAGATATGATTCTTCTTTAATCACTTTAATGTGTTTAGTCCAACACGAAAAGAGGTTGCTTCCTATTTCCTATTAATGAATGTCCTTGGGGGTTAAATGATAGTACCTTGTTATGGGAATGTTATTTGTATTATGGTGATGGGGTTTGATCAACTAGGTTTCAAATATAGGAAGTAGTTTTCTACTCCATTATACTTAAGACAGTAGAATTAGTTGCTGACCATGTATAGCTATACTAAATATATTGTAAAGGTGACAGGCAATTAAACAAATGCATATTTGCAATTTTGGGCCTCATGTAATAATCCTTAACTGTTATTATCTACTCATTGCTTAATCTAACTCTGGATTTATTAAAATAGATATGTATTTTTAAATATATATTTTAAGTATATATATATTTTTTGGTTAATTTTTTATTTTTAAAAAATAACACACTCTAAATTCTGATCTACTAGCTTAATTTTCTGGCATAGTTCTAAGACTTTCAGGTTAACTTGTCTTAGTCTCTCCTGGAACTCTATTCTCATCTGTTTGTGGCTTTCTCCCAATTTATTAGAAGGATCTTAGGGAGAATTTAAGTCAGAATTTGCAGAACTTAAGAACCAGCTCTTTGATGGGACGCCTGGGTGGCTCAGTCGGTTAAGCGTCTGCCTTCTACTTCTCATAGATGCAAGCATGTTGGAATCTCTAGCCCTGAAGGGCTTTCAGTCTGAAAGATGAAAATCTGATTTTGAATCCTTGTCATTTTTTTGATTAATTTTTTTCTTAAAAAAAAAGACACAGCTATATTCTACAAATACAGTCCTAGTTTCCCTAAGAGATAGTAATCACTAATTGAACCAAATCTGTGTTCTTTGGTAACTAAAGAAAGGGTTTGCAAAACTAGATCAGAAGGAGCAGGGAAGTTTAGAGTCAACACCCTTAGATGGGAAAAGAAAAAAAGCCAGGTAATAAGAGATAAGATCATAGGACTATGATAGGAATCTAAGACAAGTAAAAAAGAAAACCAAATAACTACAAAACACTTTTATCATGTCATTTTTCTCTTTTGGGTGTGTGAAGAAATCATGTAAACTCAAAGAGCTGATTCTTTTTTTTTTTTTAAAGATTTTATTTATTGGACAGAGAGAGCACAAGCAGAGGGAGAGGGAGAAGCAGGCTCCCTACTGAGCAGGGAGCCCGATGTGTGTCTCAATCCCAGGACCCGGGGATCATGACCTGAGCCGAAGGCAGATGCTTAACCAACTGAGCCACCCAGGCACCCGCTTGGTATTTAATTTTAAAAATTTAATTTTATATCTAGGGGCACCTGGGTGGCTTAATTGGTTAAGTGTCCAAGTCTTGATTTCAGCTCAGGTCATGATCTCAGGGTTGTGAGATCCAGCCCCGCGTCAGGCTCCATGTTGGATGTGGAGCCTGCTTAAGATTCTCTCTCTTCCTCTCCCTCTGCCCCTTCCCCTTGCCCCTCCCCCCCAAAAGAAAATAAAAAAGATAAGTAAATAAAAATTTAGTTTTATATCTAAAAAAGATGTTTTAATCCCTTCTTAACGTTAGTCCAAAATGCAGTATGTAAACAGTATTATCTCTATCCCTTGTTCCTGAATGTTACTTTCACATAATCCATATATTCTCCAAATTACTTTGCATTACATAATCACTTGAAGTAGAATTAAGGATAGGACAGATACATGTTATAGTATAAAATTAATATAGAAATATATAAAATAAATCATATATGTCTAGTAGTACAAAATAAAGGACATGTGTTATATGCAGTTTAGTATTTATGCAGTAAATATAAATAATATGCTCTATGGAGTTGTAGACAAATGTGTTTTCTATTCTTGATTTTTATATCCATGAAGAACACATGACAAGAGATAGACATGTAGACTGTACCCTCTTCATAAGTAAGAGCATATCTCTGCAACTTTGTGTTTATGAATCACCCAATGCCATGAGGCTGAGCCACCTGGAAGATTATTCTTGTGCTTTCCTAACTTGCCACTGCCAAGTGTGCCTCTGGCAGTTATTATTCCTGGGTAAAGGTATCAAGTAAATGCTTTGATTCCGCACATCTAGTCCCTCTTCTCTTAATATTAACCATATACAAATTTTTATTTGATGCAATACCCATCTCCACACAAAGAAAAAGTCCCATTGTTTTTCTAGGTGAGGAAGGGGTTTGTAAAGGTGTTTAAGTCCTGTTTGCAGGCTGTTCTGGCATCTGGAGTCAATCTTTTAGAAGTCATATAGGATAAAATAGAGTAAGGTATTCTAAATTCCAGGACATTTATGTAGAGCTTATTGGCAATTTTATTTTACATTTGCCATGACTCCAGTATTTTTCCTGGGCTTGGGATTTTACCTGTACCACAGGCAAAGTAAGACATTTAAAAATTTTGAGAACATGGATTTACTTCTCCTATCATCTTTGTGTCTACATGCAGATTGCCCAAATCAGTAGAAATATGGGTAGGATCTATGACATCTGCTGAATGTGGTTATTATGTTCAAACTGTGGAGAATCAGTGATTGTTTGGTCCCAGTGTCCCAGTATGTATATTTTCTGATGTTCAGTGTTTTGAGGATATCTGTAACATGGCTTTCATTTTGATACTATGACTAGATAATTGTTCATGGGACTGTTCAGTACTATGTTTAGAGCATATAGAGAAAGGGACTATGAGTTTTCTTTAATATCTTTATTTTTTAAAAAAAAATTTTACCCATTTATTTGACAGAGAGAGAGCGTGCACAAGAAGAGGGAGGGGCAGGCAGAAGGAGATGGAGAAACAGGCTCCTCAGCGAGCAGAGAGCCCGATGTGGGGTTTGATCCCAGGACCCCAGGATCATGACCTGAGCCAAAGGCAGAAGCTTAACCAACTAGCCACCCAGGCGCCCCTCTTTAATATCTTTAAACTTTAAGAGCTTAGTCCTTTCTCCTTAAATGAGGCAAGGAGGGATAACAGTCCCTGAATAATGAGCTATGTGAATGCATCATTAAAAATCCATTCATCTTCAGAGTCTTGGGCTGACCTATGAAGTCACTACAATAACATGGTATCAGTCATCCATTTAATCCAGTCTCTTCTTTCTAACAGCATCAGGTGGAAATTGTATTGGTCAATTATTTGAATTTTGCAAACATGAATTATTATCCCATGAACATTTAAAAATAGGCAAAGATTACTGTGGTTTGTTCCATTGGCAGAATCACCACTATAATGATACCTTAGTCCAAAAGTTATGTAATTGCTTAGTAATCCACCATGTACAGTCCATTTCTAATTATCTAGGTTCATTAGAGAATACATGCTGACTTCCAAGGATTTGTTGAAACAAATATCTAGACTATGACTAATTAGAGGACTTTGTAATACTTTCAATATTAGAATATCACATTAGTCTCAACTCTACAGGGTATAAATTTGTCCTGTGGCTCTTCTGCTAAGTGGCATTTGCAGAGAGAGGCATACATCATAGTGTTTGTTAAGAGAAGAGGATTTAGAATCAGATCAATTTGTGTTCAAATCTTGTCTGCCACAGATCACCTGAATGACCTTGGACAAGTTAATTAACCTCTCTGGGCCTCAGCAAAATGAGGGATAATAATACTCAACTAACACAAGTTGTTATGAAGATCAGGTAAGTATATAAAGAGCCTAATAGAGTGACCAGGACATTATAGATACTCAATAAAAGGCTGTTATTTTTATTACTTTTATTATTATCATCAGATTTTTTAGATCAAAATCTTTCATCTCTCTGTAGCATATGGCTATCCTGACAGCAATATTTCCTATGATAATAGACCAGATCATGGTTTCCATCCACTTTACTGGGAGGGCAAAAGCAAGCATTATGTAGGACCGTATTCATCTGGTTTTCTACAGTGTTCCCTTTCTAAGTATGTAAAAGCAGTTTTCACCTGGCAGTGAACCCAAAATAATGAACTCCGTGATAAGTGAAAAAGTCTATTTAATTATTAAACCTTGTTCTGACAATGACATGAGCTGCAGGACTAACTGTGCTCCATCCATTTAGTCCCAGAAGACCATATTCAATTAGGACAACCTTGGGGTCTTTGAGAGGAGTTAAGCTTGTAAGACCAGGTGCTGTTAGAAGCTTTCAAAGTCTAGTACAAAACAGTCCCCATGTCTGGCTTAATCTTGAATTCCCTCTAAAGCCTCAGTTAACTTTTGGACTGTCTTAAGTGTTTTCTGCATAATCTCATGCTACCCCAGAATTTATTTTTATTTATTTATTTATTTTTTAAAAATATTTTATTTATTCATTCATGAGAGACAGAGAGAGAGAGAGAGAGGCAGAGGGAGAAGCAGGCTCCCAAGGAGCAGGGAGCCCGATGCAGGACTCCATCCCAGGACCCTGGGATCATGACCTGAGCTGAAGGCAGATGCTTAACCATCTGAGCCACCCAGGCGCCTGCTACCTCAGAATTTAAAAGGGAACTTCTGCCAGACAAACAACACAGCTCACTTTTGTCCCAGCCTTTTGGGGTGACTACTTCATACTTCATGCTCTCCCTGTCTGACTATATAGCAGGTAATCAGTTTGGATCCTATCTCACAATGGTCCTTGGCATTTGGCTGAAATGGTGGCTCCCATCAATCATAATGAAGAGGATGGAATAAATCTACTGGCTACTTCATATATAAGGTCCTCAATGCCTTGAAGACATTCAGTTATCTTGGATACTTAGAATTTTACAAAGCATTCAAACATTCATGAGCAGTAAGTAAAATAATATAGTGTGCTTCTGAGAATATTTCTAATCCATGATCTGTTTATTGGAAGAGAATATGTATCATATTAAAGTTTAAGCTTCTGCCTGACTAGGACTCCTTATAAAGCATCCACCTCTGACTCAGGCAGTATCTGTTAAATTTAAATATCTGTTTAATTTGGTTCTCCTCACCCTTAGCTATAAATTAGCCAACTCATAAAAAAAAAAAAAACAGTCTCTTTTTCAGCATTGGAGAGAAGAGTATTTTTTAAGTTCATTTTCATTTTCTTACTGTTTGGCCTTTTTGGTTAGTTTAGACACTGGGTTCTACTCTAAATTTTATGGAACCACTACAAGAATGGGACATGGGGCTAAAGAAATGCAACTGAATTTCCAAGAGATTAATCCCTTTCCTTGTGAGTGAATTAAGTTCTTGTAACTGTCAGACCCAATGTCTTTAGATCCTCTGTACACTTTTAACTAAATATCCACTATATGTTTGGCGTGACATCAAAAGTGGTCAATAAATTAAGAGCAGTCTTGAGAGACTTCTGCAGATTTGGAACTTCTAATTACTCTCATCAATTTTGCAATAATAGAAATTCACTTTTCAGATTGTGAAGTGTTTTAGAGAGTAATCAGGCGAAGAAAAGTGCTTTCGAGGGGAAATCTTTCAGTGGACCCATTATCAATTCAAGCTTTATATCTGTTGCATTTAACCAAAAGAGCAAATTATAATATCATAGAAATAGTTCAGTCTCACTAGAGTCATCAAAATGTTACAAATGAGAAATTAAATTAATAGATATAAAATGTTCTTATTTGTCGTAGTGGAAGAATTACAGGCAATAATTTTAAAGTCTCACATTTATTCTCTCCTTTAGTTGAAAATAACAGCAGAAAAGCAATAGCATTCAGACCTCTTGACTATTTAGCAATCTGTTCATCCTTAGTTTAAAACATTTATTACCCTGTGCCTTCCAAAAATATAATGAAAAGGTATATAAGCTGGTGAGAAAGGAGAGAAAAACATGTCTTTTGGATTTTAACTATCTGAAGAATGATACGGTGATTAACTTCTCATTGAAAGAACTTGTGGAGAAGATGTGAAACCAGAGACAAAGAGTCAAGATGAATAAGGCATAATGATTGAGGGTGGTTTTTTTGTTGTTGTTGTTGTTTTTTAAAGATTTTATTTATTTGAGAGACAGAGGACACAGTGAGAGAGGGAACACAAGCAGGGGGAGTGGGAGAGGAAGAAGCAGGCTTCCCACCCAGCAGGGAGCCAGATGCGGTGCTGGATCCCAGGACCCCGGGATCATGACCTGAGCTGAAGGCAGACGCTTAACGACTGAGCCACCCAGGCACCCCAGTGATTGAGGTTTTTAAAAATACTATCATATGTTTCTGATAATTTTGAACTTTCATACTTTTTGTCTTAAAATATATTTATAATTTGTTAAAATTAAGTAAACACTTGATCCTACTAAACCATGAGTATTTTAATTCTACTAGATCAGTAGTTATCCCCAACATCATTTCAAAATAGAAAGTCAGTAGTTACTTATGAAAAGACGTTGCTAACTGGCATTCTCCGAATTCTATAGGGCTGCCTCATGCACATTCCAACCAGTTGACCAGAGGTACTCCCATCTATAGCCGCTGGGGATTTCTTTCTTGTCCCTACCATCTTAATGTGTATGGTGTGAATAATTCTACCTTATAGTCCAACCTCTTCCTCTCTTCTTTTCAAGAAAGGAAAGGAAGAAGGGCATAAAGAATGTTAGAAAACAAGAAGATTGGGAAGAAGTAGAGGAAAATAAGGGATTAAAGGCTCTGTTTCAGGCTATAGAAATCTCCAGAGCAGGGACACCCAAGTTTTTTCAGAAGCAGTTTTATGATCAGAAATTGATGTGTGGGTTATTTTTTATAATAGTGATGAGTTGAAAGAATCTGTCTCAGGTTGTGACTCAAAGGTAAATCGAGAACCTGTGGAGGTTTTATTCATATCTAATTTCTGTCTTTTTTCATCATCCCAAAGTTTTGTGATGTCACTTAATGCAATTAAATGTGATGAGTTCAAAAGCAGATAGTTTCAATTATCAGCAAATTATAATTAATAATTGATTCAAAGCTGAGGGCATTAAACACTGATGGTAGCAGGGTAGGTTATGTAACTCAGGGTAACATTTTTTTAAAGATTTTATTTATTTATTTGAGAGAGAGAGAATGAGAGAGAGAGCACATGAGAGGGGGGGAGGGTCAGAGGGAGATGCAGACTCCCCGCCGAGCAGGGAGCCTGATGCGGGACTCGATCCAGGGACTCCAGGATCATGACCTGAGCCGAAGGCAGTCGCTTTAACCAACTGAGCCACCCAGGTGCCCTCAGGGTAACATTTTTAAAATAAAAAAGTCAGGTGGTCCAGGTCCACAATGGGATCATACAGGCCCAATGGGAGTATGGACAGCACGTTGGGTGTTCAGCATGGAGATGGGGGTGAACTTTTACCCATGGTTTGACAAAGAGGTAAGCATGAGAGGAGCCCTGATTTTTCTGCCATGGCTAGCTTTGATTTTCCCATAGAATGTTTGTTTTCTGTGGTCTTTCAGTTCTATATTTCTATTAGTGAAATACTTTATCAACATGATTACTGAACAACATTTCAGTCAGTTGGCCCTGGCATTGAAGCATTATTTAATCATTCTGTTACTACGAGGAAACATTTTCCCAGATAACTGATCTACAAGTACACTTTTAGAAACAACTTGTTATAAATTGTGCGTATAGTTTTCTTTAAAAATATATACAATTGTTAACAAAGCAAAAAGCAAAACCCAAACAATTTTCCTTAATTTTTTTTCCCTATTCTTAGGATTTGTCAAGCACTGCAGTGAATTTTTTTTCCCCTGTGCTGAAAATGTGCTTAATTGGCTTCATAATTAGCTAGTTCATTAAAGCCCAGTACATTTTTTTCTGACCTTTTTTTTTTCCTGCAGTAAAAGACAGTGTTTTTCTAATTAAAACCGCCAATAAATAAGAAATTCACTTCTTACCTTGTCAGAAGGTTTAAATGGATTTCCTTGTCCGCTAATTCCACCACTGATACTGAATCCAAGGCCAGGATTCTTTTCTATTCTCACACAAAACTGTGTAAAAAAGACATAAAAAAGTGATCAGTTATATATCAAAGCTAAATATCTTCAATTTAACTGCCTCACCGTAGAAAAGATTCACATTTCACTTAAGTTCTCAGGGTTAGACTATATTAGTACACAAAGGACAAATACTCAGTGCTTCTACAGGCCTAAGTTATGATTGAAACTAGCTTGAAATTACCTGGGCAAGAAGACACTAGCAAGTATTTATCCATTATCATGTGTAGAAATGCACTCTGATTAGCAGTTTTAAAAAATCAAAAGCTATACTTATAACAATAACAAAATTGTGCATTGTTTCAGTTACCTACTTTACATGCACATATATTATGGCCAATTAGAAGAGACTGTATGAATAAGTGAAAGAAAGTTTGCAAATGTACAGCGAAGGAAAATACGGCATTTAAATAAGTTGCCACTGCTTTCTAGGAGAGTAGTACAATCCATCTCCCTGGTAGATGATTATATTGTTTAGAAATAGCAGGGTTTTTATTTTGAGAAAGGGGAAAACTTTTGGCCAGAGCTCTAGTGAGGGTGGAACAGAGGAAGAATGAAATACTCAGTCATAGAAGTTTGGGTTTGGCACCAGCTCCCGGAGAGGCAGTTAGAAGCCTTGGAAGACAGAGGAGACCACTGAAAACAGGAATATGGAGAAACTGTGATAAGGAATAGTTGATAAATATTTAGGACCGTGAGGGCTAATATTCTAGTATTCTGTGCTGTGTTATCTCCCCAAACCCTAAACCATCAATGAAAGTCTGTTAAACACAAGAGCCTTGTGCTTTGAGACCTAGGGGGGGAATGATGGCACCAGGAGTAGGTCCATGTCACGCTCAGGCTGTAGTAAAGATGAAGCTATTATAAGAGTGAGTGCACAATGTAGATCAAGAATTCAGCAGAAGGGGAATCATTGCCAGGAATGACCTAGAGAGGCGATAACAAACCCAGGAATTCTTTTTTTTTTTTTTTTTTAAGATTTTATTTATTTGTCAGAGAGAGAGAGAGCACAAGCAGGGGGAGCAGCAGGCAGAGGGAGAAGCAGACTCCTTGCTGAGCAGGGAGCCCAATACAGGACTCGATCCCAGGACCCTGGGATCATGACCTGAGCTGAAGGCAGATGCTTAACCGACTGAGCTACCCAGGCATCCCCAAACCTAGGAATTCTTGATGATCCTGAGCTGGGATATGTATGAGGACCATGGTGAAAATGCTAGTTTTCCATGTAAAGTGGGATGGGGTGACCCGAGATGATTGAAAGACTTGGGACCCCACAGGGAGCATACACTTGGTTACAGAAAAGAAGGAAGGAAGGAAGGAAGGAAGGAAGGAAGGAAGGAAGGAAGGAAGGAAGGAAGGAAGGAAGGAAGGAAGGAAGGAAGGAAGGAAGGAAGGAAAGAGAGAGAGAAAGAAGAAAGAAAGAAAGAAAGAAAGAAAGAAAGAAAGAAAGAAAGAAAGAAAGAAAGAAAGAAAGAAAGAAAGGCTTTTATAACTTTTAAGAACAGAACAAATGCTGGAACTAGGTGAACCAAGTGTTACCAGAGATTAGCAGGCCAAAGATTAATAAGGAGTTAAGAAAAAAAAATCTAAAGAAATGCATTAACATATATTTTGTATTTATATAAATATATACTGGGAAAGTTCTTAAAGATGATTGGAAATGTTTGCTTTCTTAAGCAGTGTAATGCTTTCCCCAGCAATCTTGCTTAGTTAGCCTATTAATTTACTTGTGGACAAATGTAAATGCCCAAATGCTTTCTATATTTTTATTTTCAAGATACCTTTAATCCCTACCTCTTAGATAGTTCAAGGCAAATTTGAGTACTGTTCCTGGCTTAATTAGCATATATTAAGAGTCGCTGGGAACTGGATTAATTAGGTTTGGCCGTTTAATGAGACTATCCTTAATTTACTATCATATTTCATAATAATAAATATAATGTTTAACTATTACATAGTTCACTTGCAACACAAGGGCAAAACAGTATCCACTAATGTGATTTTTATGGTAGAGTCTCTAATGAATAGTTTCTAAATTATAGGTAACTGCAATTACCATAAGTA